CCCAGCCCCACCTGGACCCAGCAAGTGCTCCAGGCAGCCAGACAATTGGAGCTGCTCTGCCCGGGCTCCCCAGAGTCAGCCACTGGTCAGTTTCAGCAGCAGCTGACTTGGGGATGCCTGGGGCAGAGCAGCCGGGGTGCTGCCGGGTTGGTCCAGTAGCGCCGCCCCTTGGTGCTGTGGGACCAACCTGGCAGCACCCCAGCTGCTCTACCCCAGGCATCCCCAAGAGCAACTGAGGTGCTGCTGGGTTGATCTCGCAGCGCCAAGGGGCGGTGCTACCGGACCAACCCGGCAGCACCCCAGCTGCTCTGCTGCAGGCGTCCTGATTCAGCTGCTGCTGAAACTGACCGGCAGCAGCTGAATTGGGGACTCCTGGGGCAGAGCCGGACTATTGGAAGGGGGGGCTATGAGAGGTCTGGGGTGGCATCCCCCCACACCACCTTAGACCCCTCATAGCCCCCCCTTCCGATAGTCCGGCATATCTGATAATCCGGCATCCCTTGGGTCCTAAAGGTGCTGGATTATCGGAAGTTTACTGTAGTTGAGGCAGAATAAGTAAAATTGCTAACAGGCAGTGCTGTTGGGAATACTTTTGTGCTAATTGCAAGCTGCAGGGTTTAAATGGGAAGAGGCAGGCCTTGTCTACTCTAGCCCTTTTGGTGGTAAGGCTGTCGCAGGTATGAGAAACACACGCCTGACTGACTGAAATTTCACCAACCAAAGTGCTGGCGTGGACAAGTGCTATGTTGGCAAGATATGCTTTTCTGCCAACATAGCTAATGCAACTCTGGGTGGTTTAATTATGCCAACAGAAGAGCTCTCTCCCACTGGCAAAGAGCTGCTCCACGGGAGATGTTACAGCAGTATAGCTGTGGCAGTACAGCTGTGCCACTGTAAGAATTGTAGTGTAGATGTACCTATAGGCGTCCTTTAAGGTAGATGCAAAGAAGCTGTCCCTTTATAGAGCTTTTTTTTTATGAGCTATGTGGAAATTCCTCAGTAACAAACACATCTGCCCCATCTGATCAATGTATAAATTGTGGCCATGATAGTATTCTGTTACTGCTGAATTGTGTATGTAAGTGACTAGTGCAGTGCTTTACATTAATTTTAATGTGCCCTCATATCCAAGACTGGGAATAGCCATTCCCTCAGAGACTTCCATATGCAACAAAGATTTATCAGTCTCTAACAATTAAATTATTTTTTAATGCCATTGGTTCAGAGCTATGATTTTCATTAACAAGACATAGGTTTCAATGACATTTATTAGTAATAGTGCTTTATCCTTTTACATAATACTTCACATCTCAGAATACTTCACAATTTTCCTGCCAAGTACTCTAAACAAACCACTTTTTTACTCAGGGAAAATGACTTACTCATAAGCATACAACAGGTAACAGGACTTCTGATTCCCAATGGTTTTTATAAACATTTATGCCCAGGCAACAAGAAGATACTCCAATGCAAAGTGAAATACATCCCAAAAAATTCAATGTATGCCTGGGTGTAAATCCCTCTGACAATCCTTTGTAAATGGGGAGACAGAATCTGTAGTAACTGTATGCAGAAGTAGTGGCCATTTTTGATTTACCTGTTGCACAGGTAGTTTTATAATCGCTTTTTGTTGTAGTTCTATACATACAGGCTGAGTCTAGATTGGCATGATTTTCCGGAAATGCTTTTAATGGAAAAGTTTTCCGTTAAAAGCATTTTCAGAACAGAGCGTCTAGATTGGCACGGACGCTTTTGCGCAAAAGCACTTTTTGCAGAAAAGCGTCCGTGCCAATCTAGACGCGCTTTTCCGCAAAAAAGCCCCGATCGCCATTTCCGCGATTGGGGCTTTTTTGCGGAAAACAAATCTGAGCTGTCTACACTGGCCCTTTTGTGCAAAAGCTTTGTGCAAAAGGGACTTTTGCCTGAACGGGAGCAGAATAGTATTTCCGCAAAAAGCACTGATTTCTTACAGTAGGAAGTCAGTGCTTTTGCGGAAATTCAAGCGGCCAGTGTAGGCAGCTGGCAAGTTTTTCCGGAAAAGCGGCTGATTTTCTGGAAAAACTGGCCAGTCTAGATACAGCCACAGTAATTAAATAAAGGGTTTTTGTTACAAAAAAATTAATGGCTTTAATCTAAGTCATATTTTGTCTCATTTGACACTGTATCAGACTAACAGTCTGCAGAAAACTCTTAAGTTTAGAGGAGGAAAACTAAACCCCACAAAGTTGCACTTTGAAGCTTTTGCTTGTTTCTGTGCTCCAGAATGTTTTTTTCCGAAGACACTTAACAGTGTTTTAGTCCTTAAGATGAAGTGTGTTAAAGTTGAACTGCAAAGCTGAAATGAGCACAGGTCTTGGAAAAAATATTTTACTCCTATTCCTGAGAGAGTAGGATAGAGGTAGTGTCATCTGCCTCTCCCTTTTTACTTTGTGACTTTTGGGTTCTTTTTGTTACGACATCGTTTCTCAGATCTTTTTACAGTATGTGTAACATAATAATACAGAGTTTATCTGTAGACATCTCTATCACAATTGCACATAGCAGCTTCTCTCCATTATTCCCCCTTTAAAAAGAGGCTGATAGTACATGCCTGCTTCAGGTATGTGATAAGTTTAAGTAATATTTTCTGAAATGTTAGCACATTTTCTGAAATGTTAGCACAAAAATCTAAAATACTACACATATGCTAATAGAGGCCTCATTATCTGTAAAATTGAGTAGTTTAGGGGTTTACGCAATCTTTTTAATTGCTGTTTCATACAAAATTTGAAACCAAACTTTCTTAGGTTTTTTTTTCCATTTAGAAAGAATTGATATCCTGAGTATCAGCTTTAGGACATAAGTAGGGAATATAGCAAAGCTAATAGAAGATAGTGTTTTAGAATGAGTCTTGTTATGTAAGAATAAGCGGAACCTCTTCCATTCTAATCCCCACATAATTCCGTAAAGTGCATATCCACCCAAAATCAGCGTCTAATGCAGGCATTGCCAAATATGGCTTGCGGATAACTCTCCTATTTAATCTTCTTATACGGCCTCTGGAGACTATTAAGCCCAGCAGACAATGTGTGGGTTTCTGATAATCTGACTGTAAATGGCACAAATTTGGGGTGCATCTCTTAAAACTGTGTGTGTGTATGATGAGAGGAGGTTGCTGAGGAAGAGAGTAGTTTTAAGCAAGTAAGGAAAGTTCTTAACCAAACCATAATGCATTCTCAATAAATGCTTAAATGCTTTATCCTCTGTGCATAGGAAAGAACATGGTAACAGAAATTACTGTCTTAGGACGGATAGATATTACAGGCAATAGAAGTACTATGTTCACTTAAAACATGTCAGTGTGAATTGCCATAATACATAGGTTGAGCCTAGTTTTTCTCTCACCCTTTTTAAACCAGTGTAATTCCACTAATTTCAGTGGACTAGCCACAGTGAGAACAGAATCATACTCCTACTACTCAATATATATCACATTAGAATTCTGATGGTCAAGGTGCTCATTCAATATGTCCTAGAATAGAAAAGGGATAAACCGCTATTTCAGATATGTATTCATGTGGCACAGTTAATGTTGCTTTTAAAATGCTTAATTTTTGCATTTCTCACCCTTCGCTAATTTTAACTGTGGAGCTCTATATTACATTAGTGGAGATTTTTCATTTAATAAGTTGTAGAGAAATTAACAAGTATTTAAGGCCCCATTTTAGGAAAATAATTAAGCATGTGATTAAGTTCTTCCCTATTCAGGTTTGCACTTGAGTACCTGTTTAAGATTAAGCATATCCATAAATTCTATTGACCTCCATGGGATACATACATACGTTAAGGAGCTATCCTGAATTAGGGACTAAGTATGAATAGAAATGAGAAAACTTTAACAGGTTTGTTTAATTCCTTGTAGGGTTTACAGAAGTGGAATTATTTTGCCATCACTGAACAGACAACACAGTCACTGTCCTCCTTGGGTAAGTTTGCTGGTCCACTAGACCTATATTTAGTTCTGCAAGCTGGATGGCTCTGTTTTAACAGTTTGACAGTGAATTTTTTAAAATAAATTTAAACTCTGTTCTGAAGACCAGTTTTATCATAACTTGTCCAATGTAGTTTGGTCACATCAGCATGCATATGGAGCATGTTTGAAGAGTGTTCTGCTAGCATATTTTGTTCGTGGAAGTGCATTAAAGCAAATCTGAACATAGGCTAAGTCACAGCTATGAAAGCTTGTAGCAAGAACTGGGTCACTATCGTTATTGTTTATTTGGCCTTTCTTACTAGTGATATCCTTTTGAACAAGCTGTGTTTTATGATCTAGCAGTTGTATTTGGGAACAGATTTGAGAGGTCCTTTACCTTTTGATTTGTGGACTTCATATGTGATTCTCATTGGCATTGCAAAAGTTGTATTAATCCATGACCCGTGTCATACTCTTTCATTTCAAGATCCAGACTGTTGTGAATTTCCATATTTAGTACATTCAAACTCCTTTGAGTGAAGTAGAGGCCCAATTAGAGAAGCCTAGAGGATCTTGTGGTTGCCAAGTGTTACCAGTTTGGTATTTTGAAAGTCTTTTTTGCTTCATGAATGATGGTAACCATTTGGCTGTGTATTGGGCATTGTGGAGGCTTGCGCATGTAGACAATACAGCAGACTTTGAGAGTCACCCAAAGGCCACAAAATTAGATAAGGATTGAAGGCACCAAGCCAAGTTTATTGTAAATGAAGCATGATTCTAGCTTCCTTGAATCAGATGTCAGCAGTTGCATGTAACACATGTATGCTCGTTACAATGGACTCACCTCAGTGACAGGGATGTGCCATTGCCCCCTAGGCTGGACAAAGACAGTTTTTATACATAGGTACAAACAAGTTACACATCACTCCTGACAGTAGGTTGCCACCCTCTGTACATGTACAAGGTTGCCAACCTTGTACATGCAGATTTGTTTATTATCTATTATGCTGTTAGTTTAAACCCTGTCCTAAACCTGAGTCAGTGTGTTCCTGTTATCTATGGGGTGTGTGTTGGCGCCAAAATGTTTTTTCATGAGGTGTTCTTTTATGGTCCCTCTAAAATGTGCTTGTGGCCTATACTTAATACTCTTAGGTATAAGTGTATTTCTGTAATACCAGCCCTGTTCTTGCCAACTTTTGTAAGCAGGGCCTGCCTCTTGCTCACAGCTTAACTTTGTTTTATATTAGCAAAGTCTTAACCATTGTGGCCTAGGTCTCAGGCCTTACACCAGGCCTGTAATAGGTGGGTTTATGTTTCAGGCCCTCATCTTAACTACAGATCTCACTTGCCTGTGCTAAACAAATAGAATATCAGTTTATAAGGTCTCTTCAAAATAACCACCTCATCCCAGTTCATCCGGTAGTTTGCATAGAACTCAGTTTATCTGCCTTGGAGCTATTGGAACTTTGGTTTCAAGTTTGTGTATGTGGTTCTAGGTAGTTTTAATCTGAAGTTTAGATGGCTGAGCCATCTGCCTAGCAGGGCCTGTGGATTAAAGAGTAACCCAAAGACATTTAAAAAGGAGTAACTCACAAATTAGCTGTATTTGATTTATTTTTCCCCCTTCAAGTAGGAGTGAAGTGTGGTATAATATTAAAAATTCCATAAAATGTGATTCCCGTCTGACCACAGTCACCCCCAGGCTCTGCCAAAGGGTTTGTGGGCCCCAAGGCAGGATGCTGGGAGTGGGGCCCCAGGCCTGGCCTGTGGATGGTGAATACTCAGCAGAGTGGGGCCCCGAAAGCGCAGGTCCCAAAGCATATGCCTTGCTCGCCTTTCCCTGGGGTTGGGCCTGCCCCTGCCCCTGTTTATATTCTAAAGCTTCACCTTGAATTTCATTCGGGGACAGTCTTTCATAATACAAATATTTGGACTGCCACACAGATGAGATTAGCAAGATTACATATCTGTTAGAGAATAGATATATAAATTAATTCTTAATATGTTCTGCAAAGTAGAAAGTTTAGAGTCTGAGAAACATCAAAAATAATACTGCACCCATACTCTGTGTGGGAGGTACTAGCAGTCTGTCAGCTAGTTATCACACTTTCCTAACTATGGATTTAATTACCTACATGATGTGCTTTTACAGGCTGAACCTGTATAGTCTGGCACACTCTGGTCCAGAAACATCTGTGATCTGGCATGATTTTAATTAGTCAGAGGTCAACTTACCATGGGTGTGACCAAGTTTCCTGCAGTTCCGTAAAGTTTGTTTTCAGCCACCAGTCCTGGCGCTCTGTGTTCTGTGCTGTTGTTTAGCTCTAATTTACCTCTAAATGTCTCCTAAGAGCCCAGTAGGCTAGTCCAGTGGTCCCCACTCTCCATATCATGTACACTGTCAAGCTCTTCTGAGTCTTCTTCCTCTGTCAGTAATTTCAAGATGGTCTCTGCTGCCATGTACAAGGTCCTCACCACAGTTAACAGAGCACACGAGAGATGTGCAGGATCCATTCTTTCTCACTGCAGGTGCCGGAGAGCACAGCAGAGAAAGGCATTTGGAGAAAGGGCACAAAAGGATGCCAGAAGCCTTGGAACAAAGCAGTCCCTGACGGGACACTTTGCATGGTCCCAAGATGCCCCATGCTCTGTTCTGAGGTTCCACAACACCCAGCGATAGATGGAGTCGCCAGTTGTTGTGGGCTACATACCCACAGTGTATTGCTCCTGCCGTCCACAGGAGAGCTTAGAGGTGGACACAATCTGTCAACAGAGGGAGCAAGTGTAAACATTAGTTGGCAGTATTTTTGGTGACTTTTGTGTGTCGACATTAGTTTCCTCGACAATACTTGTAGTATAGACTTCTCCTCCCTCATCCCTCCGTACTTAACACACACGCAAGGTGGGCATTGTGGAATAAAATCTTGGAGTGTTCTCCATACTGGTGAAGGAAATGCTTGTCTCTTCTGTGGGGTACTGTCTCCTACAACTTTTCTTCTCACCATTCAGTTCCACAGAATAACTGGAAAGCCTACTTTAGTTTTATGGACCAGTTTATATTTTGGTTTGCATCTTCTCTGAGACCCATCTGGGTTGTATAATGACATGTTTGCATGTGTTAGCCAATAACTTAACAGGGACATATGGGTGTAAAATGTCATTAATATGTGCCAGCAAACTCTTTGCTTGAGAGCTATAATCAGTTCCAGGTATTGTCTGATTTTTATTTAAACAGATTGCTACAGTCCTTGGTCCATCCACAGCTACATTTCAGTATTGTACTTAGAATGTTCTGCCAAATTCTCCTAATTTTTTAGTGTATATCAGCAATGGTGCAATTATTTAGGATCTAGAGAGAAACGGGTGTTTCTGGAGGAGTTTTAAGGATGGAATAATGATGATAACTTGTTCAGCACCTCTTCAGTGTTACTGGGAGAACCAGTACCTAAGGATTTTGAGTCTCATATGGTTTTTATTGGTTTCAGTATACACTGCGTGTTAAGATGCTGTACTGAAGTGGACTGTCAGTGGCAGCCACTCCACAAAGTTTTCTACATAAATAAGAATATTTCTGAAAAACAAAAGTGCTAAGAGCTATGGAAGAAAATAAGGGATGTGCTAGTAAAAATGGGGAAAAGCAGGAGAGGAAGAGAGGGACGGGCTGTTAGAGAAAAACATGGACTTTATGTCAGTCCTTCATCTGGATTGGTCAGAAAAATGTCTAATGTGATAATTCAGATGGAGTGAGCTGCTTTCTTGTCACCAACAACGCTCCTTTGGAGTGAGATCTAGCCCCACATTGAGTAAAAAGGAGCTGTTTAGATAAGAGCTTAATGGTTTTGGCAAGCTAATATGGAATAGATTGAATATCAAAGTGTAAATAGCTCTAAGCAAAGTAAATGCAAAGCTTTTGGGAAATACTTAAAGTAAAATGAAGAAATGATTTTGTGTCCAGTGTCCAGAGTGATTTTAAAACTCTTGTTCCGTGTCCAAAGAAATGTGTATATCAGCCAAACAGAACTCTTTTGCCATGATTTATTACACCAGTTTAGATATAAGCCCTGTGTGCAAAGCTGTTAGTTTAACAGAACAGCTTGCTTTCTCATTTCAGATTTAATCCACATGTTGTATCAACAGAACCTTTGTCTTGGATCAGTTATGAGTTACTGCTTTTTTTTACAAGCAAAAATATGTGATTTTTAGTAGTTCCGTTACAGAAAAACCAGGGGTGAGCTATATGGAGAAGGGTAGCTGTGTTAGTCTTTAAAAACAACAAACAGTCCTGTGGCACCTTACAGACTAACAATCATGATCTCTCGTGGGTAAAACTCACTTCATCATGGAGATGAATAACAAATTGTGACTGTTCAGATAATGTGAAGGTTGTGATGCAAACTCATCAATCAAAGATGGGCTTTCCAGCTTCTACTCCCTTCATCATTGCAGTGGAAGACCAACTAACGTGATACGTGGACGCAGTGTTACCCTTAGCCTAGAACCCTTTCGCTTTCCCCAGCCTGTGCGGTGGTATAAACAGAGCCTTTTTATTTGCATCTAATTTCCTCCCTTTTTAAAAAATGGACCTTGTCCAGAAGCTTATAATTCACAGTTCCTTCCATCCTACTCCCCCTCACCCTCACACACACTGGAGAGTGGAACTGTCCCTTTTGCAGCCTTCCTGCTTTCCCAGAAGAGGAGAATTTATCAATTAGATATTACTGATGGTCCTTTATCTTGAGTAAATATATATTTAATTAACAAAGATGCAGCTTCTTAAGCCATGTGTGTGGGTGCAAAACTGAAAATTAGAGCTGGTCCAATAGAGTAAAACAGTACTCGGAGTTAGCTGTGCCTGACCATTTGAAAGCGAGAACTGGCCTTTCACTCCAGCAGTCCTGGGTCACCTGACCAACCCCCTATATCAGAGTACCATAGAGAAGGAACCCTCTTTCTTCCCTTTCCGCCCTCCTGCCTCCCCAAGCTGCCAGCTTGATTGAGTGAATGCATCCAAAG